TCAGCAGGTGATCTCAGGACCTCTTCATTTTTGTTGTTGTTGTTGTTTTGGTTCTGAAGCCCTGATCCTCATGGGTCCTCAGGTTTTTTTTATTGAGTCACCCCAGACTCACCATCAAATCACATATCAATATCCATGGCAACAGCTTGCACCACAAAAATCACAGATCCACATCGCAGGACCTCTTAGTTTACGCTTCCTCAAAGGGTTGTGTGTTTTTTTTAAAGAAGAACGAAATCTAATTTAAATTACTGAAGGAAATACTCATTTCTGATGAATATATGATGGAGTAGAAGACAGTGTTGACAGAAACACATTATTTAACATCTCCCAGAGCCATTATATGGGGAAGCAAGATCCTTACCCAATGAGGCCATGTTCTCGTAATTCTCCATCATGACTTCCCTGTACAAGGCTCTTTGGTTTGGATCCAATAAGGCCACCTGGCCTTCCGTGAAGTACACAGCCACATCTTCAAAGGTTACTGGACTCTGAAAGAAGAAACAGATCTCACTAAGTTTCTCTCCGGCTGCGGCCTAGCCATATTGATACCAGAATACAAACACACGTCGTAATGGATAATTTGTGACACTCCCTTAGGTTTCAGTCCCTTTCAGCATACCCTCTTCTCCCTCACCTCATCAAGAAGACACTAGAACAGTGGTGTCAAAGATGCGGCCTGGGGGCCGGATCAGGCCCCCGGAGGGCTTCTATCAGGCCCGCAGTGGAACTGGCTGTCTTCTACTTCTTCTTTCAGTTCTGCTGCTGCTGCGTCATCATAGGTTTGCAGCTTACAGATACACACCTGAACAGCATACTCAAGATTGCAACAACACAGACATTTTGATGCAATAATTCAGAGCAAGAGGTGTCAGTTATCAGACACTGTTAAATAAGCAGAATATTGCAAGAGTACTAATGTTTTAAGCATATTTTTAGTTTAAGTTAAAAAAAAATCTTTGTGTTTGTGTCCTTTATAAAGTTTATATCGCTGCTACCTGGCATTACATTTTATGACACACATGGCCCGGCCCAACAAGGCCTCATTTATGTCAGATCCGGCCCTCATAACAAATGAGTTTGACACCCCTGCACTAGAAAGTCCAAATATTTGCCTTGTGAACCAGCTTTGCCACTGCTCTTTCACTTCCTCAAAAAGAGGAAACATTCAAAGCAAAGTAGGACAAATCAGAGCAATTACCCTTACCCTGTCATAACAGGTTGCTATAATTGCAGGGAAACCTATGGCAGCATTCACTGGGAGCTACCTAGATAGAGAGGAGAATTCTGCTCCAATCCTGCTCATCTAGATCATTAACCTGTATATCAAGAATGTGGAAAACTCTTCTCCTGGCATAGATGGAATCAACCACAGGGCTGTACATGAACAGTAGCACGTCACTGCACTTTCTGTTCAAGATGGACCAAGATGTAAATCTTTGGAGAGTTATTTTCCTTGTAAACAGACCTGGGACTTAGTTTATTAACAAGTGAGGTTTACAACCTTCACAGGAGAGACAGAGCCAGTTTGGTGTAGTGGTTAAGTGTGCGGACTCTAATCTGGGAGAACCGGGTTTGATTCCCCACTCCTCCACTTGCACCTGCTGATGTGACCTTGGGTCAGTCACAAGCTCTGGCGCAGCTGTCCTTGAAAAAGAGCAGTTTGTGTCAGAGTTCTCTCACCCCCACCCACCTCACTGGGTGTCTGTTGTGGGGAGGGGAAGGGAAAGGAGTTTGTAAGCCGCTCTGAAACTCCAAGTGAAGGGTGGGGTATAAATCCAATCTCTTCTCTTCTTCTTCTTCATTGGTTGGGTGGAGACTGGTAAAGGACTGAATCCAGTATACAGAGAGAGAATGGTTCTTAAACAAAGCTCAGTTTATTCCATTATACACTCTTAAGACAGAAAACACTTTGTAGCATTTCAGTATTCAACATTTCAATATTTGACATAGAATATGTCAACCCAGTACTTAAAAGAGTGCACTTGTATAAAACTCAGAACATTCTAAACTAGCCACCAAGGTTGCACATGGAATTGTCGATAGCCAGCCTCAACCATTAGTAAACCAGAGATATATATCTTTCTTGGACCTATAACTGCTAACGTACTGACTGACATACCTATCACGTAGGACTACTAGGGATGTGACGTAGGCCCAACTAGAACTGACTAGAACTGGCCCAATGTACCGACTCAAATCCATCTCCTTCTTTCTATCTCTGGAGTCAGGAAGCTCACGGAAAGGAGAGTCAAGGAAGGAATACCTTATTTATCTGATTTCTGATAGTGACATCACTCACTTCTGGAATGTACAAACATCCTCTAAGGCAAAAATAATGTACAGAGTTATCAGTACCAGAAGGCCACAGCACCAGCAGAGTTCTGAAACATCCTGGGAAACGGAACCAAAGATTAAACTATAGAGGCTAATATACTGAAGAAATTAAAGTAACAGGTGTAGTGGTGAATTGAGGCTCAGTCCAGGCCCTAATTCCATGAAAGGCACTGAAGAAACTAATGGATTTATCACAGAAGTACATTTGGACTAGAGACCCTTTTGTCAGGGGCATGAAATCTTCAACTGGCAGACAGCTGTGCTAGTGTAGGCCAAAAAGGAAACAAATACAAGAAACACAGTAGGACGACTACATTTCTATGCACAGACCACGTGAAAATATAAAAGGGCAATAGGGTTCCCAGCTCAGGGTTTGGAAATTCCTGGAGATTTGGGGGTGGAACTTGGGAACAGCCGGGGCTGGGAAGGGGAGGGTCCTCAGTCAGCTATAATGCCATAGAGTCCACCCTCCCAAGCAGCCATTTTCTTCAGGGGAACTGATCTCTGTAGTCTGGAGATGACTTGTAACTACAGGAGATCTCCAGGTCCCACTTAGAGGCTGGCAATCGTAAAGAGCAACCACTTCACAAGAGCAATTAATTCGGATTCGTGGTATTACTCTGGTTATCCTAAGCAGCGTGGTCCCTCTTGTGCTAAAAAGGTAGCCAGAATTGTCCACTACCCAATGACAAGAAAGCTCTGTGAATCCGACTCTGGGATATGGACTCCCCAACAACTCTGGTCGCTCACTCCTGCGTTGCAAAGTTCAGGCAAACTCAGAAAAAGGAAGAATCAGCCTCCTTTAACACCCCCAAAGTATTCCTTGCAGAAACACCCCGCACGCCCCAAACCCTGCCCCTTCCCACTCACCAGCATTTGCAAACAGCAGAAAGATTCAGACGTTACCCGGACTGTGTTTTGTTGCTATTGCAATTCTTCCACCGGAAACAAAACCGTTCCGCATCTAGTCGGCAAGCTGCCGGAACTGCCCCAACTCTCCCCAAGATCGCATGGCCTGCTGGGAATTGTAGTGCATTCCCTTCTGTTTCCTCGCGGACCCGATCGCTTCTTCCAGCAAGCACTGTCGGGCCTCCCATATACCGAGCATTTTGGGGAATCGTGAATTTGCGAACAACTGAAGAGCAAAAGTAGTTTTCCGCCTTGGGGGACCCTATTTAGGTGGCAAGGCAGAAATATTTTAAATAAACCAATCGCAAATGCCTTCACTGAGGATTGCTAGCAGTATTTAATTGGAACCGAAAAGGGTGCTGATGAAGGCAGCAGTAAGGTAGAAAACAAACCCAAAGGTTTGAGCCATTTGATTTGCAGCAAAAGCACAAAATACAGAGGCAATAAAGCAGAAATGGCAGCAGAGGTTACTGGAATGCTAGTTTTTCTCAAAGCAAAATTAAAAGCAAGATATATATAGTCAAGTATATAGGAAAGCCAATTTTTTTTCAATTACATGACAGCAAATCCTTTGTGATTGATTAAACTGATTTCTGCATGTGTTACTACTGAGATTGGGTCCTACTATAGTCTCTTGGATTTGAAAAAGAATTATTCGAAACGCAGCAGCTTATATCCGAACTACAAGTCACTTATGGCTTATGGATTTCAAAGTTATTTGCATCCTCCTGGAACTATGAAAGCATGTCAATTTGGACTATAAAATTATAATACAACAGGAGTGAGACACATGGAAATTTTTGGGACATTACTTCTCTGTACTATTGTGATTATATCTTTCTGCATTTGTGTTGTTTCTTGTAAGAATACTTAGGCTTCATCCAGTTACTGACAGTGAATGTGGCATTAAATATATATAGTCCACTATAAGTGATTTCAACCAGTGGTCTCTTGTGTTTTGCAGCAAAACTAGTAAAGCAACAATCCAGGGCGGGAAGCCACCCAGAAGTACATTATGTTAAATTGATCTGATTCAAACCAGACTTGTAAATAGCTAGTCACTCACTATGAGTAAGGAATGCTTCCAGTTCCATATGAGCAAGCAAAGTATTTTCTAACATGAGTCCCCGGTGTGGTTCCTAGAGGAGCCTTTGGGCCTGCTATGTGTTTTCAATAAGCGGGCAGGGTCAAGTGGGGCATTTGTGGGGCTTCTGATTGGCTGTCCAGGTTGGTTTTTGGGTTTTTTTAAGTTGCTTCAGCAGCAGCTGCCACCACAGCACGAGGATCTTCACTGTGTGACCGAAGGCAAGGTGCGTGTATGCAAAAAATATTTTTAAACTATCTGTTCATTTAAAAAGGCATCCTGTTAAACAGAGCTTCTGCCTGAAATGTTGGAAGAGTTACTGCTAGAGTTATGCCTGACCTCACTCCATGACATTTGTTATTGGCTCCACCTCCTGGGGCAGCCATTTTGTGGTTGCACCCACCACGTCAGAATTCCAGTGGTGTTCTCAGGCTCAAAAATATTGAGGGACCCTGACTGCTAAACTTGATGGGAGTGAGTTTCCCTCTGTTTCATGCTACTGCAGTGCTTACAGTGCTATCCAAACAAGCGTTCCACCCTTCTAAGAGCCAGTTTGGTGTAGTGGTTAGGAGCGTGGACTTTAATCTAGGAGAACCAGGTTTGATTCCCCACGCCTCCACATGCAGCTGCTGGGTAACGTTCGGCAAGCCACAGTTCTCTCAGAGCTGTTCTTTCAAGAGCAGTTCTCAAAGAGCTCTCTCAGCCCCACTTACCTCACAGGGTGTCTGTTGTGGGGAGAGGAAGGGAAGGAGATTGTAAGCCGCTCTGAGACTCCGAGTGAAGGGCAGGGTATAAATCCAACTCTTCTTCTTCTAAAGTCAGTGGGCTTAGCAGGGTGTAACTGTTTAGGATGGCACTGTAGAACTGTTTACACTGACAGGCAGGCTAGTTTTAAAAATGCAGATTTGTCAAGGATGATTGAAACAATTAAAAAATGGCCAAGTTTGGACTCATCAACTGACAAATGAAGAAGGTTCACCTTTCTTGCAGTGGATCCAGACAATTAGCCCATCAACTGCGGCAGGGGTCGTTTCGTAGAAAAAGAGCTAGGGGAACTCATTAGCATAACTCATTAGCATATGCCACAGGAGATTGTAAGCCACTCTGAGACTCCGAGTGAAGGGCAGGGTATAAATCCAACTCTTCTTCTTCTAAAGTCAGTGGGCTTAGCAGGATGTAACTGCTTAGGATGGCACTGTAGAACTGTTTACACTGACAGGCAGGCTAGTTTTAAAAATGCAGATCTGTCAAGGATGATTGAAACAATTAAAAAGTGGCCAGGTTTGGACTCATCAACTGACAGAGGAAGAAGGTTCACCTTTCTTACAGTGGATCCAGACAATTAGCCCATCAACTGCGGTCATCAAGCGGGATGCCGCCTTGTGAAGACAACGTCTTGTAAGGGGATGCACATTGGGACAAAAAAAAAATCCCAACTTCAAGTATGGGCTAACTTGCTGAGACTGAGAGGGGGAAAATCTTGGGGTCCTGGTAGATAGCTCAATGAAACTGTCAACCCAGTGTGCTGCAGCGGTGAAAGGAATTGCTAAAGGAAGATGGGGAGATGGCAGAGAAGCTCAATAACTTTTTTACTTCTGTGTTCACTGTGGAAAGCGTGGGGCATGTACCCATGCCACACAGCCCCTATTTTCAGGAAGGGAGTCTGAAGAACTGAGTCAAATTGAGGTGAACAGAGATGAAGTTCTAGACCTACTGGGGAAATAAAGAACTAATAAGTCTCCAGGTCCTAATGGCATATGCCCTACAGTTCTTACGGAACTCAAATGTGAGATAGTTGATCTATTGACCCCTATATGTAACCTATCACTAAATTCAGTGTCTGTACCAGAAGACTGGAGAGTAGCATATATGACACCAATTTTTAAAAAGGGATCCAGAGGGGAGCCAGGAAACTACAGGCCCATCAGCCTAACATCTATCAAATTAGTAGAAACTGTAATCAGAGGTAGAATGATTAGGCACATAGAGGAACAAAGCCTGCTGAGGGAAAATCAGCATGGCTTCTGCAATGGGAAGTCCTGCCTCACCAAGCTTTTGGAGTTCTTTGAGAAAGTGAACAAGGATGTGGACAACAGTGACCCGGTAGACATTATATAGTCGGACTTTCAGAAGGCTTTTGACAAGGTACCTCACCAAAGACCTCTTAGTAAATTTAGCAGTCATAGGATAAGAGGGCAGGTTCTCTTATGGATTAAAAATTGGTTAAATGTCAGGAACCAAAAAGTATGAATAAATGAACAGTTCTCACAATGGAGGGAAGTAAGCAGTGGAGATCAGTACTGGGGCTGGTACTATTTAATTTATTCATAAATGATCAGGAACTAGAGGTGAGTAGCGTAGTGGCCAAGTTTGCAGATTACACAGTTCTGGTCACTGTATCTCAAAAAGGACAGAAGAGGGCACGCAAGATGATTAGGGGGTTGGAGCATCTTCCCTATGGAGGAAAACTGAAGAGTCTGGGACTTTTCAGTTTAGAAAAGAGATGATTAAGGGGGACATGATAGATATATTGCTTGTATTACAATCGATCAAATAAGAAAAGAGAGAGAGATGACTAAAAGGGGACATGATAGTACGCATGGGGTAGACAGAGTTGACAAATAGAACTTTTTCTCCCTACTCAAAATACTAGAGGGCATCCAGTGAAGCTGATGGGCAGTAGATTCAGGATGGACAAAAAGAAATACCACTTTACACAGACAGTGATTAAAACGTGCGATTCACTGCCAGATGATGTAGTGGCCACAGGAATAAACTGCTTTAAAAGGGGATTAGACAGATTCATGAAGAAGTCTATCGATGGCTACTAGCCATGGTAACTGAGGGGAACCTCCACATTCAGAATCCCAGAGACCAGGAGGCAACATCAGAGGAAGGCCTCAGCCTCTATGCCATGTTGTTGGCTGTCCATAAGAACTGCTTGGCCACTGTGTGAGACAAGATGCTGGACTAGATGGACCACTGGTCTGATCCGGCAGGGCTCTTCTTACGTTATGTACGGGACACGCACATCTCTAACACATTCCTATGACAAAGAAAACTACCCCACTCCATTCAGCATGTTAAAATATTACACCCCGCCAATCTTCTCTGCCCACACCATACACATCCCCTCCAATGGACAAAAGAGTAGACTGACAAAGTCAAACTGTACATTAGTTCTCAACAATATTAAGACGCAAAAGATAAATTATGAGGGACTTGTTGCTGTTACTGACAGGCATCTCCTCCTTACATTTTCATAAATAAAGACTACTTCAGCATATACAGAATCCCTGTTCTCAACACCAATGTTCCCTCTAAGCTGTGGAGTCTTGTGAGCAAAAATTCTTCTTTGTGAGCTACTGGCATTAAAATTGTGACCGAGCAATTTGGCTTAGTTCTCAACAATATTAAGACGCAAAAGATAAATTATGAGGGACTTGTTGCTGTTACTGACAGGCATCTCCTCCTTACATTTTCCTAAATAAAGTCTACTTCAGCATATGCAGAGTCCCTGTTCTCAACACTCCTCTCTCACTTTGTCCTCCACTTCAATGGTTGCCAATTGTAAGCGGTAAGGTCAGGCCAGATGCCATCAATCCTAATGAGTTTCTGCTGTTGGGTGTGGCCTATTATGCTAATGAGTTCCTGCTGGGCGTGGCCAACTCAGGAGCCAGCCGGAACTCCATTCCTGTGCGTTCCTGCCCAAAAATAGCCCTGGTAAGCGGTAAGGTCAGGCCAGATGCCATGATGTCACATGCTGTTTTTTTCTACAAGGTATGACTGGGAAACACGGGAAGGAGATGCAGGTAAGTGATGGCCTCAAGTCCTTCAAAATGTCTAGGTTTTGGCCTTAGAAAGCGGATAATTAAGTGCAATGAAATCTGGACAGTTTTGTTACAATACTTGGTCACCAGAAGGAAGAAGCATGGATTTAGAACTATGAAAGTCCTACATGGACTGTTGTCATTTTCTATATTGCACAACAGACTGATAATTTACAGCAAAGCACTTGTTAAAGGAGGAAAATGTCATTCCCTAGTTTATAGCACTTCTTCTTTGATAGTCCTATGAAGAGGTAATTCAGACATGTCTACCCCCAAGGGCTGCTGGTATTTTGAGAGTTTCTCTTTCATGTGGAATTTCTGGTGTTTCACTATGTGTGATCGATGGGAAAAACATTTCCCACACTCTAAGCACTTGTAAGGTTTCTCTCCTGTATGGACTCGCATGTGAGCCAAAACGTTCGACCTGTCCGAAAAACATTTCCCGCACTCTGAGCATTTATAGGGCTTCTCTCCTGTGTGAACCCTTTTGTGCCTTGCAAGAGACGAGCTATCAGCAAAACATTTCCCACATGCCAAGCATGCGTAAGGTTTTTCTCCTGTATGGACTCGCTGGTGTTTTACAAGACCTGATTGCTGGGCAAAAAATTTCCCACACTCCAAACACGTGAAAGGCTTCTCAGCTGTGTGGACTCTGCAGTGTTTTACGAGAGCTGAGGGCCGAGGAAAACATTTCCCACACTCCAGGCACTCATAAGGTTGTTCTCCTGTATGGAATATCCAGTGGCTGACAAGGGCAGAGTGCTGGTCAAAAGATTCCCCACACTCTGAGCATTTATAAGGGTTTGCTCCTTTGTGGACTCTCAGGTGAGTCACCACATGCGATCTGTCAGCAAAACACTTCCCACATTCAGAGCATTTGTAAGGTTTCCGCCCTGTGTGGACTCGCTGGTGCCTCACAAAGGCTGGGTTGTCGGGAAAACATTCTCCACACTGCAAGCATTTGTGGGGTTTTTCTCTCGTGTGGATTTTCTGATGGGTAAGAAGATAGGACTGTTGCGCAAAGCACTTGCCACACTCCAAACATGCGTAGGGTCTCTCTGCTGTGTGGACGCGACAATGTTTCACCAGGGCCGAAGGCCGAGGAAAACGTTTCCCACACTCCAGGCATTCGTAAGGTTCCTCTCCTGTGTGGACCCTCCAGTGGCTCACAAAGGCAGCATGCTGTTCAAAACAGTCTCCACATTCCAGACATTTATAGGTCCTCTCATCAACATGGATTCCCTGTTGGGTCACAAGGTCCAGCTGGTGAGCAAAAGAATTTCCACACGCCAAGCACTGACAAGATTTCTTCCCCATAAGGACTCGCTGGTGCACGACAACAAAATCTTTTCCACACTGTGGGCACGAGTCCTTTTCTGTAAGGTCCCCTGGTAGAATAAAGAGCAAATACGGCAAGATTCATTGTGATGCCTGAGAAAGAAGCTCAGAAAGGATACAAAAATGTGGAGGTGTTTTCTTTAAAAAGTCCCAAAGAAATTGAAATGATGGGAAAGCAGCTTATTCTGCCATGGCTCCCTAGGACTCTCCTGAGGCAGAGAGTTCAAATCATGTTCACTCACCCACTATAAAGAAGGTGGGGGAGGGATGATTCTCTTTAAGCAAAGGTAAAGGTTCCCTTGCTCGAAAGCCAGTCGAGTCCGACTCTAGGGTTGCGGTGCTCATCTCCGTTTCAAAGCCAAAGAGCCAGCGCTGTCCGAAGACGTTTCCGTGGTCATGTGGCCGGCATGACTAAACACCAAGGCGCACAGAACGCTGTTACCTTCCCACCGAAGTGGTACCTATTTATCTACTTGCAATTTCTTGCATTCGAACTGCTAGGTTGGCAGGAGCTGGAACTAGAGACGGGAGCTCACTCCGTCATGCAGCACACTCGGGTCTCAAACTGCTGAACTACTGACCTTCCACAGCCTGCAGTTCAGCGTCTTAACCACTTGAGCCACCGCAGCTCCTATGATTCTCTTTAATGGTACCCAAATTCTGCTGCCTCAGGTAGATATCCTATGTAATTATGGTTCGTGTATTTATCTGGGGCCATTTAATGGCGCAAAAGGGATGGTTAGTGAGCAAACAAGTAGTGAAAAATTCCTTTTCTCCTCTAGATTGGCACTTTAGGGAGAGATAAGACAACTAATACCCCTCGAAGGCTAGATCTGCCCTGGAGGCAGAGTCTTCCTTCATGATCTTTCTTCCAAGTATCGACCTGGCTTAGCTTAGATCTGATGAGATCAGGCTATATCATGCTGCCTTCCCTCCCAGCAAAATGTATAGTTAGCCATCTGTAAATGAACACTTTTTCTTCAGTTTCCCCAAGTACAGTAGAGTGAAGTGATCCAGCTATCTTAGCAGCACTCATTCCCAAGGACAGCAGACAGGAGGTGTACCAAGAGAAAGAAAACTTCCAGATGTTAAGATGGCTGACTTTCTGGAAAGAGATGAGAAATTCTGCTGCTACAGAACACTATGGGTGCTCGTTTTAGCAGCATATATAAAAAAAAATTTACCCTATGGGTTGGATCCTGACAATTTTTGCTACTAGGAGGAGGAGTGATTTTTAAAAAAACAAACAAACTGGGAAGTGCCAGATTGCAATACCATTAATGTTATAATGATCTATTACAACAATGTAACTAGTTCCCAGCTTTCATCTTTAAAAAAGTAAGCCTTTTCATTGCAGTGACATAACCTTATGCACATTTCCCCTTATAAGTCCACAACAAAAAAGGGCTTGAAACTTATATTTTTGAAATTGAAAGCTTGGAACTAGCATTGTTGCAATAGATCATTACAATGTAATGCTCTGGCAATATGGGAATTCCTGATTTTTTTTAAAAAAAAAACACCTTCCAGTGGAGGGGGAGGAAATGGGGGCTGATGCAAGGAAAAACTGCTATGTGTATGTGTTTTCATAACAGCAGTGAGAACTACCCAGAGAACCATCACCATGTGGAAGCAGCCTTAGTCCTATAAGTGGGGTTTTGCCACAGACTCCTCACCTGAGTGGTTGTCGATCTCCTTCTCATCAGGCACCCAGGGGTCTTCTCCTTGTTCCATCTGGGAGATGAGGTCAGGCTTTGTGACTGGAAATCCTGCAGGCAAGTGAACACAGAAGACAGCATTGACAGATGCAAGTTCTATAGGGTCTTCCGGACTCACCCTTTGAGGACATGGCTTCCTTACCCAACGACACCACGTTCCCGTAATTCTCCATCATGACTTCCTTGTACAAGGCTACTTGGTCCGGGTCCAGCAGAGCCCCCTGCCTCGCAGTGAAATACACGGCCACATCTTCAAAGGTCACCAGCCTCTGCCAAGAACAAAGAACCCTCAACCGGTCTTCACCACTGTGACAGCCAGCTGCTTTTCTCAGCTCCTCACCCACTCCGTCACACCTTCCTGTAGCAGTGACCAAGCTGGTTTTAGTTATGGCGTGGAACTGCGAGTAGTAAGTAAGGAAACGTTAACAAATAACTGTGCCGCTATTATAGAGGAAGCCTGGGGAGATTTCTACTACTTCCTGAGGTGATTTCTGAGGTGATTTCTACTACTTCCACCCTCCCCTTCTCCTGAAGAGATTCACACCGATGTCTTCCTTTCACAACACACACACACACAAATACGTTTATTGCCCCTTCTTTAGAAGGGCTCGATGTTTAATGGTTAGGTGGACGAGATGAGGAATGTAACAGCTTCCACTGCCCATTTCCACACATGAGGCTTCTGTTAAAGGAACAAGACTCCTTTGCTCCAGGTTGCTGGCAACCCAGAAGCTAGTCAGCCCCAAGCATTCTCTGTTGAGGCCTCCCCTTGGCGGAACGGCCCCGCCTGCCTGAAGAGGTCGGAGAAAGGCTCCCACAATTCCCTAGTTCTGCAGGAAGTGTCAAAGGGAACTGTTCAAGAGGGCATCTCTATAAAAGAAAAACGGGAAGGACTGTGACTCAGTGGTACAGCATCTGCTTAGCACGCAGAAGGTCCCAGGTTCAATCCCCAGCATCTCCGGTTAAAAGGACCAGGCAGCTGGTGATGAGAAAGACCTCTGCCTGAGACACTGAAGAGCCGCTGCCAGTCTGACAACACTGACCTTACAATCCTAGAGTTGGAAGGGACCTCCAGGGTCATCTAGTCCAACCCCCTGCACAATGCAGGAAATTCACAAATACCTCCCCCCACACACCCCCAGTGACTCCTGTTCTATGGTGGACGAAGGGTCTGATTCAGTATAAGGCAGCGTCATGTGTGTTCATGTGTGGTTGCTGTATAATGGAATGGCTCAGGAAAGCCCCGTTATAAAAGAAACAGGATGGTAGTCTCTCACTATATTTATTGTATGCCTTCTCTTGCTCTTACTACATTGGTCACAGCATGCACTCTCTTACACTGTGTTCTGTTGGCATCGTTTCCTGACTGTGTAATCCCAGACCTGTCGTGCCATTTGTTAGAGGTCTTATGCTGCTGATGGCATCCTGTTGGTATTTTGTAACCTGCCTTGATTCTCGCCAACGAAGACGGGCTACAATTTACGTATTTATTCATTTATTCGATTTATACACCGCCCTCCCCGCCGAAGCAGGCTCAGGGCAGCTTACATAAAAGGTTAAAACAGTTTAAAAACATAAAACATTTCTAAGACATTTATCAGGGGCTAATTATACATACAGTTTAGTTATTAGCAGGGCTATTTTTGGGCAGGAACGCACAGGAATGGAGTTCCGGCTGGCTCCCGAGTTGGCCACGCCCAGCAGGAGCTCATTAGCATAACAGGCCACACCCAACAGCAGAAACTCATTAGGATTGGCTACATTAGGGGTGTGTGGCCTAACATGCAAAGGAGTTCCTGCTTTTTGACAACAAACAAGGTAAGCAGAATAAGAAGCAAAAGGTGGGTGTGGCTGAATGACCACACTGCTGGTAATGTGGGGGTGTGGCCTAATATGCTAATGAGCTGTGCTATCAGGGGTGTGGCGTAATATGCTAATGTGTTTCTGTTGTTGGGTATGACCTATTATGCTAATGAGTTCCTGCTGGGCTTTTTCTACAAAAAAAGCCCTGGTTATTAGCCATAGTGGGCAACAATCAGCAGTAATTATAGGACTGTTGTCCAGGTCCCATATATTTCAGCTGTACCAGCGCAGCACAGGCTGCCTATTGCGCTTTCCAGGGCACAGGATCTTAACCTCTGTTGAACTATTCGGTGCAGCTCATCACTCCAATGCCTGGCGGAAGAGCTCCGTCTTGCAGGCCCTGCGGAATTGCAATAAATCCCGCAAGTCCAGCCAGCTCAATAATGAAACAAACCAACCAATCCAGCAGCAGCTTCTTACCTGAGCCAGCTCCACTGCAGCCCCTTCCATTGCTCTGGAAGGAGGGGGCAGGTCCAGATTCCAGCACAGAGATCATCCCCCACTCTGTGGAGGCAACAAGGGCTGATCAAACTTCTTTCAACATCAATTATGGATGACACTTCCACGCTAGATCCCTTCCAGTCCGGCTTCCGCCCAGGCTATGGGACAGAGACGGCGCTGGTCGCCCTCACAGACGACCTTTGGAGGCATCTGGATCAGGACAGTGGTGCTGTTGCTATTGAACCTGTCGGCGGCGTTCATCACGGTCAACCATCAGTTACTCATCCACCACCTCGCCGACATGGGGATTCAGGGGCTTGCCTTGCAATGGCTCGTCTCCTTCCTCCAAGGTCGGGGACAAAGGGTGGCGACTGGGGAGCAGCTGTCCCAAAGGCACCCACTAACCTGTGGAGTGCCTCAAGGGGCAGTGCTTTCCCCGATGCTATTCAACATCTATATGCGCCCCCTTGCCCAGATTGCCCGGAGGCATGGGCTGGGGTGTCACCAATATGTGGATGACACCCAGCTCTGTTGGGCGGTCAGTCTGGCTCTACCCCGGAAGATCTGGACCGGGTGCTACAGGACGTGGCTGGATGGTTTAGACTGAGCCGACTGAAATTGAATCCGACAAAGACGGAGGTCCTGTGCCTGAATCGGAGCAGCTCAGGGTTAGGGATCTCACTACCGGCCTTTGATGGGGTGCTGTTGGTGCCAGCGCCGATGGTCAGGAGTTTGGAAGTGCTCCTGGATGCCTCCTTAACAATGGAGGCCCATGTAGCATCCACTGCCAAGGCAGCCTTTTAGAAGAAGAAAAAGAGATTGGATTTATACCCGCCCTTCACTACCCAAAGGTGTTTCAGAGCGGCTTACAAACTCCTTTCCCTTCCCCTCCCCACAACAGACACCCTGTGAGGTAGGTGGGGCTGAGAG